ACACGTGTTGCAATTATGTAAAAGGCCCAGTGAAAATCTGACAATAAATTATGAATTTCATCAAATATCGACCAATTCCATCACTAATTTTATCAATTTCCAGTTTCAGAATTGAACCTTTGCTACCACATCTTTCAAAAAATGAAAGCTACATTAGTTTCCACAAAGAATAACTGTGTTTCAATAAAACCACGGGCTTTAAGAAGCCTTTGCCGACGGAAATAGTAGTAAATCCAAGTGACTCAATAGATTTGAAGAAACTTCGTAATCCTACTGTTCTGTGAGAGACGTTTGAACCATATCAATTTTTTGGTCTTTGACTTGAAAAAAGTTCGAAAAAGTAATGAAGCCACTAAAAAAATGTTTTGTATTTAAAAAAAACATATATAAAAACATAGGCTTTCACTGCTAAAGTCACAATGGAACCTGGAACCAAACGTTTCGTCTGCTTCTACAGACGTGCGTTGACACAGTCATTGCTAAGACTTCGTGATATAACCTTTGTCCTCTTAGTAAACGCACATACCACTGATGATAAATGCGGCAGTGGAAACAGTCAATACTACATGTTCCATCGATGTAAGTGATCCCACAGATACTTGTGGGTGAACAGCAACATACAGGAGAATTTGTGATGTACTGTTTGGAACGTTTGGTGCAGTAGTGAATATTACTGGAGTTTTTTCCAAATACCAACCGTTATTTCAAAACCTCGACACGTGTTTCGATCACCAAGTGATTAAACTGTTTAATCTTCCTCTTGAAGATGAATCACTTGGTGATCGAAACACGTGTCGAGGAGTTAAAATAACGGTTTGGTGTTGGGAAAAAAAACCTCAGTAATATTCATACGGGAGAATATTGATGATTGTTTTTTTTTTCTGTTAGACTGAGTGTAACATTTAACACTATGGTTTCCAAATGGAAATTTATGTCTTCGTAATTTTTGCAACTGAAGTTTTGTAACTTGGGGTTTTTCTATCAAGAAAACATTCTCGATATGTTCCTGACTCTACGACATTATCCATGAATCTAGATCCATGAATTAATAACCATTTGGAAAGTTATAGAACATAGCTTACCAGCCCGGGTTTTATTCTCTTAAATTAAATTATCAATTTCTACTTTTTGCCCTTCAACAGAATTTTGAAAAGGGTACAATTAATTTCTGAATCAACTAAGGACTAGAACATACACCAAAATTTTATTTTCACAATATCTTTTAGTTTTACTTCAATAATAAAGATGTTAAGTTCAGTAAATCGTTCATAAACCATTATTGAAGGAAAATAGGTGTACGTACATACATTCAAATTGTCTAATAAGTTTCTAATATGATTCTGAATACAGAAGTAAACATCTTTTTGGAGCACATCAACAACGTAAAACCTTCCATCACCTTCACAATCGAGAAGGAAGTCCACAAGGAATTGCCATTCTTAGACGTATTAGTGAAGAGGACCGACACATCTGTATTCCGAAAACCAACTCGCACGAGACAGTATCTGAATCACGAATCCAACCACCATCAATATACCAAGAGAGGCATCATCAAGACTCTAGTGTATCGTGCTTTCGGGCTCTGTAATATAAAGGAAGGTCTCGAGAAGAAACTAAGCATCATCAAAAAAGATCTTAACGGAATGGTTAGTCCGAAGTGATAGTGGAACAGACTTTGGCTAGAACACGGTCAACTCCCGCTAAAACAGTGTCAACCACTTTCAAATAAATTTAAATTGTTTAAACAAATTTATTTTCAAAATATTATTGACATTGGAAAATAACATTTTTGTACATTTTCAATAATTATTATACAAAACGATTACTGACGCAAAACTGACTATAATAGCAGAAAGCCAACATAAACAAAGAACAGAGTTATTTGAAAATAATATTCACCGTACTGTCGATAAATGTATGTGCATTTTTTTTACTAACGATTTCTCAAAGAAAAAGTACTTACCTACTTTCGTTGAAATAGAAGAAAAAGTATATGTTACCATACCATGTTGGAATATGTTATCATAGGAAAATTTCTTGAATCAGCGCAAAGTAAATTTATCACAGAAAATACATGTTAATTTTTCAATTATTTCAGACATATTCTCTAAAATTACATTTTTCTGTTTTTCTGTTTGTTGCACTATAATAGTTACGGAATAAGTGTTTTGTGAATGACTTTCCATGGCCCATGACAGTTTCACCATTTTCTGTTTTTTTCAATTTCTTGAGATTGAGAAATCAAACTGTTTCATTTTGACCTTCTACATTTCTCTGTATTATTTATAGGTATCATCATTTGCAATTGTCAAAACTTACCATTTTGTTGTTTGTTTGAAAGTTATTGACAATGTTTCATGATGAATTTCACTAGTTTGGACTTCCATTGTCTACTATATAAAATGATTTGAAATCCCTGAAACAACTAAAAAAGAATAATTAAAAATGAATAGCTGAAAATAACAATTATATTAAGCAAAATAAACCTGAAATGAAATAANATTTTTCAGAAATTAAGGGACAACAGATTTGACAAAATATTTATTACTAGTATTAATTGATCAACCGCGTCAACCTGCAGATCATGTTTGTAAATTCATTCTCCAAAACTATATAACATCTCAGAATTTGTTTTATGGTAAAATCTTTATAAAACTTATATCGATTGAAAATCTAAAATTATCTAGTTCCTAGGTATTACTATGGTAATCCAAATTTATGCGAAGGATCATAAACATTCATCATTTAAAATTCGTAAAATATGAATGTAGTAATTCATAAATGCAATCTCTAGTAAAATAATACAAAAGAAAATTACTCTCACAATTTTGGTCCTAAATATTGCTATACACACTGATCTTCACAGAGAAAAGTATGCTTGAAATTACACAATGAAATAAGAGAAGGAAAGGACCAGACAGAAAAAAAGATATACCTAATTTTATTACCATTTGATGAAGTACAAAGTAGTAGCACAGTTTTTGTGCACAAAAATTAGTATATTGCAACTTAAAAATAACACGTCCTATACCATCTCAGATTCTACTCATATTTCAAACGACAACAGTCGAAAGATATTGTTGCACGCTCTCAAGAAAGTAGCTGGTTAAATTACTCTATCATCTTCAAATTTTGTATTGCCTGCCGCTTTTAAATGTCTTTTTCAAATTACAGGCGTTATTACTATTCTGTGGTTATGGTATCAAAGGTGTTTTTCGAAATTTCAATTAATGATGGAGAGATATAAAAGAGCAAATTAATGAATATTACTTTCAACTTACAACTTTTCACTAAAACAGAACGAATTATTTTTCATTTTTTGATAGGTTCTAAATATATGGATCAGTTCTTGTTTGAATTAATAAGGTTTCGAGTTTAACTGCTTTTGGACTGATGACCCTACTTATATTTCACCGTTACTTTATCACTTTTTTATGAAAGTTGTCAGTTCATTTACTATTCCAATTGAACAAAATGAAGGCACTAATTAGAACCTTGTTCCAACAAAGTCATTGCCAAATATCTTGGATGAACTTGTTACATTCTCACCATGCTCACTACTATCCTCGCTTTTCTGGCTATACCAAAAATTATTTCAGCACGTTTCATCCATTCTACATTACAATGTTTGCCACATGTACAGGAAATAAGAAAAAACTGGTTCAGCAAATACATAACGCCCCCTCAATTGGGATTGATGAAAATTATAATTAAAAACAATCTACCCTTGAATCGACTCCAAGAAGTTTTTGCTCCCAGTTGATGTGTAAATCTATCGCCTTCATAGACTGAACCACTGACTACCGGAGTTTGATGCAAACTCTCTAATGTATGGTTAAGAAGAAGGTGATCAGTTCAAATATTTCAAGCAGTGGAATCTGTATACAATTGTACAATGTAACTGTTTGGGAATACTTGATAATCCAAGCTAAAGTAGACTATAATAGTAGACTATTTTTGGAAAAAATATCTTTTTTTGTTGATATTTCGAACAAGGTATTATTTATCTCTTATTTCAATCATGTCTTCTTCCTAGAAAATGGGATATTTTATTTATGAATACTTTCGTAATAATTCGGGAAAATACCTTTCATAGCAAAAACTGATATCACTTACTTGGAAAATATGTATCACATGTCCTCAAACCCTATAAGAGACCAGAATTTTTTGTGTGTTCTTTCTTGTCTTGCATTGACAATTTAAAATATATTCACGAATCTTGTTAAGCCCTCTCTACACTACTTGCGAAATTGATCAGAAAGAATAGTGTAGAGAGAGGTTATTGGATTCGCTTCATCTTGAATGACTAACAATCGCTGTTGGTTTTTGCGCCCTAGACAAAGGAATTCTTTTTTTTATGTAAAAAATGGAGAATTAATTCCACAATGAATCTCAAATACTATAGATGGCAATGATGCCATTATATTTAGTAATATGACCTGATTTGAAGTTGAAATATTAGCTGTGAACTCTTCCTTATTTAGCGAAGCTGATTCGACAAGTTACAAATAATCAAGTAGCATGCCATTTTGGAACTAACAAGTTGCTGAGTTATGATACAAATCATTCTCAGAACATATCCACCAAAAAACGAATGTGATGCAGTAAGAAGCTTGATGACCAAGCCATTGAACCCATTTATGAGTTTGAAGTCTCACTTAGGATTTGATTCCTCAGTTCGATTTCGGATTCGATGTGTAACCCATGCATGACTTGCTGTGTGATACAGGTTACACTAATACCAATCCTTTTGATTGGTGCTGAAGTCCATTGACTCGATATGATAGGAATCACAAGTTAGACATTGTTGATACTTAGCTTGCACAAGTTTCGACTTCTTGGGGTTGCCGTTCATATAAGGATGAAAATTGATTAACGAAAATGCATTTAAAAATTCACTCTTTACTGCATTCATTCTTTACTGCATGTGAATGGCACTCATTGAAGTAAATAGAACCGTAAAAATTAAATTTGATGTGTATGTTTTGAAAAAAGGCGCATTACAACTTTAACTTTATTATTCCATTTTGATATATTCATTTTTTTTCTGATACATGTCAATGGGAGATATAGAGACATCCACAAACATTGAAATGCATATACAAGATTCCACCGCAACAAACAATTACAACATATAAGTAACGTTAAAATATCATGTCATGAAAACTGTGCAGCCTCGTCTATATACAAGTAGTTGATATAATAAAAACTAATAAAATTCGCTAAGATAATTAATATTAAAAAATATATTACATTGAGCTGAAGAATTTTTTTTTTGAACAGTAAATTGAGTTTCCTTTTATGCAACTAACCATTCAAAATGTTCGCAATACAGCAGAATACATCAGGCAGTCTATAGATGATAGAACAGGTACAAAAAATCAGATCAAGCACTCTAAGTGTATTCTTGAAATATACAGGATCGACAATCCTGTGGGCATACTTTTGGCCTGTTCATTTGCAACCAAAAATCCTTTCAACTATTCTGAAGCGCGTCAACTTTGAATACCTCTAACACGTGTCAAAAGATTTTCATCACTAAGAGTCAATTATTTGTTTTATGCTGACCTTTTTCAGTACGATGTAGAAATTTTTTGGTGTCACTGAACCAGGCGACATGATAGACTCAGTTGCAGTCAACAGATCAATTTATTGATCATATGTATGTTTTCTTAATCTTTTGTAAGGTGCCTTCATTATTCGTGATATTCAGATTCTTCAGGGAGCCCAAATTGTCCTTCTTCATTGGTAATGAGTCTGTGGAAACATTGTGGACATCCAAATTAACAGTCTTGGTCCGTGGGGCTAAAAAACTATTCTGATTTACATTCAACCTGAAACAAAACATCGTAGTCAGAGAATTGTTATTTATTGGTCATGGAGCAAAATTTTGAATAATCTTATATTAGCATAACCTATGAAATAGGGGTGAGTAGCTTATAATTTTTAACCCCCTTATTTTCCAAAGCCAAATAATAGACCTAAACGTCGATCATTAGCAATGTCTATGATTCAAATCATATTCTAATTTCAATAAAAAATTATTCGTTACCTTACTGAGAAAAAATTCAATTTTTTATCAATATCACTAGTGAAAATCATGATTTCAAATTCTTTCTACCAGTTTGTACCTGAAATATTGTGAATCATATACATATTTTCCTGATGAAATGATTTACTTATCAAGATATTTCCTTAAAAAAAATATTTTTTGAAATGTGTTTGATTTTTTCTAGTGTTTTTCAAACTTGAAGTGATTACACAATTACTCTCTCTTATATAATTGACAGATGAGAAGATGTGATTTTCCTGGTATTAATTCAGCCGTTGACTGGTATCACTTCACCTGGGTGGTTGTCACTGTGATTTGTTTGAGGAAAAAATATGGGCCGTTTTAAAGAAATAACGAGACTTGGAGGCCTTGACTCAGTCAGTCGTTGCTGAGACTTCAAAATATAACCTTCGTCCTCACAGTGAACGCGTATATCAATATTGGCCGCAGTAAAAGACAAAACCTACGTTTCGTCTTTTACTGCGGCCAGTAATACGTTTCGTCTTTCTCTTTAATCATAGCTCCAGACGTGACAACCTATGTTCATATATTTCAAAGAATACTTCGAGTTTTTCATTATCAAGCATCCTACATTCATCAACATATATAGCAAATTACATATACAGTAGATAATCTATTACATATTTGGAAAAAACTCAATACAATTTATTTGTCATTTGAAAATTTTACAACCGTATTTCATAACAATTATAAAATTTCAGACAAGTAGTCAGGTCCCAATATAAATATAAAAAATAAAAATATAGATTCATATACATTTTTAAATGTTGGTATCAACATTCATTGTATTTTGTATAAGGTAACTATGTAACTTTTTAGATAATATAATAACTTCATTGAAATGATATCCTAATATACACATGGTTTGGGGATTCTCACCTTTCACAATCTGAAAAAATAAAAATTGTAATGGATCACTTCATACAGATTCAAGGAAGGAAAACTTCCAGTTCACCCTGATAAGTTACTGCGTAAATTCAATGTAGTTTTCATGGAGGAAAAAGGGCTATTTACCGGTTACATGTATTCTATAATTATGCCTATCAAAAACGAGCTTAGAATTGCACAGATAGGTATCTGTGCACTTGTATAAAGTTCTCCATTACAATTTCTATTTTTTTCAGATCGTGTAAGACGAGAATCCACAGAAAGATTCATAAAACACTGATGTGCTCCACAAGGAATGACTTTTTTTCAATATACCAATAGACTATTATAATTACTAGCACAAACAGTAGCGTTACACCAATACAAAGTTGACATGACAGTTTGGAAACTGCATTTGTTTCAAAATAATTCAAAGGCATGGTAATAATAAATATCACCTTAATAACTCGCAGAGTTTTGGTCTGAAGTCAGTAGGGAGTAATTTCTTTCGTGTAATTCAATGTTTATATGAAAGTAGCTGTTTCAGGAGGACTTTCTTTCAGTTTGTGTCTGAAAGTTACTTCTTTGCATGATCTACACATCCATGTCTAGAGTTAATTATTTTCAAATTGATTACTTCCTTCCTTTCTTTGGAAGATTCTCTCATTCCTTTTTTTTTGTATCAGATGGAGTAGTAGAAAGCCAAAAACTTTCTTTCCCAAATAAACATAAGCAAATAATTTTAGCTGCTTTCTTGGAGGGTGCATTCGACAATAGATCTATAAAATCAATCGTCAATCTAGGAAAAGAGGGATCAACTATATAAGGTGCAGGTGAAAAAAGTATATGCTTTGAGGAATACTGGTTTTATTACTACACGGCCATTATGGAAGATACAGTAGTGACATGTAGCAAGAAGCTGTCTTCAGGAGGGTCTTGTCCCCACGGTTATGGAACCTTGTAACAGACGAGTTACTACGTATTTTGAACCAAAATTATTATAATGTACCTCGACTATAATAGCATTTACAAAAAATGCTAAGATAGAGGGACTAGGACCTCTACAACTCCGAGGTGAAGAGATTCAACTGTTAGTACGGATTACATACCTAAAAGTTATACAAGATGTTAGAGTGACCTAGTACCAATACTTAAAAGGAGTAATAAGAAAGGAAGAGCTGACCATATACTTCTTTCGTTTAGTGGCCAATAGCGAATCAAGAGACATAACAAACTAACTAGGGTGCAGAGACTTGCTTGCTTCGGAAAACTGAAGTAATAAAAACTACAACAGCAGAGTGGGTGTAGTCAATACACACCTGTCTTATGAGCGGAAGTGTATGCTGAAATATGCTACTACCTGTTCGGTCAGTACACATCTCTTTTTCAAACGAACGTGTATACAATCTTGCAGTTCGCAAGGAATATGAATCTGAGGCCCCAATGAAATTATATTCTTGCAGACAGCCAAACTGCATTTGGGCATTGATGAACCCATGAGTTACATCCACATTGGCCAGGAAATGTCGAGAAGAACTGAAGAAAATATCTGGGTGCCTGCACACTCAGAATTCACAAATAACAAAGAAGCTGATGGGCAGATTTTAACAGATTTTTAACAGTGAGTGAGTGAGTGGATTCATGTTAATCTTTAAAAGGAAATTTGAATGTTTGAGTTTATGATTTCGAGATTCCAGCATATTCAATGTTTGTCTTTTATTTTCTGTATGTAATATGTCGTAGTCCATGTTGAAATCATGGTTGTTCTCAAAAAAGTCGCAAATATAAGTGGAATTGGTTTTCTTTAGTTCAAAACTTGGTTAATGTTTTTTGACAAAATACTTTTCGAACGGGCCAATAAACAATTATATCCCCACATTGAATATAACGCTAACATCTACGAAACACTCACAAATACAGGAAAATCCATCAGATAAAATGAAAAGACAGTTAACAAAAGAGAACATTAACATAGCATATGAGACTGGTAACTTCTTGGGGGAGACATATAAAGAACAAAAAGTCAAACATGGACAAAGTTAGCAAACCAGAAATTAAAGAGAGGAAAAATTTTCTAGCGAAAAGATTGTTTGTGAGATAGTTCACATAATCAGCGATGATGAATATGTAAACTCAAAGTCGGACTACCAAAATCGAACAACATATATAGGAATATTTTGTTGACCACAAAAACACCTTTAGAAAGTGCACAAAGATCTTTATGATCTTGTCAGTATTCAAACTAAAAACCTTACTGCTATATCTTTGAATTGGCACGATGAATATCGATTTGTTATAATGAGTACAACAGCAGACCGTTTGGACATTTCAACTGGTATTTTAATGTGTAATTTTAATTGTTATCGTCTCTTAGTTTTTATCGAGTTCAATGTTTTTAATTGTACATGTTTCTTAGAGATTTTCGGGAAAAAATATCTCATTTTACTTGAACAACATACTTTAATATACAGTTTGGATGAGTACAAATGAAGGACATCATCAATAATAGTTTTTCTGGAAATGTACAACAAATTATAGTTTATAATCTGTTTTTATTGTAGCCCTGAAAATGGCGACAAACGTAACCGAAACGTTGGCAATTAGAATATAAATTATTGAATACGGAATACGTGTTTATATGTCCGAGTACCAGTGAATACTTTGCAATCATACACGTCTGGACGTGAAAAAAACTGAATCATAACAAATCAGGCGTCTACAAACAAATGGATTGTGTCCAAAATTTATATAGGAAGGACTTCAAGAAATTTTAAAACAAGAATATCCGAACACAAAAGAAGTTTTGAAATAAAAAAAAATAATTCCACCTATGCTTGTCACCTTTTAGAGGACAACCACGATTTCATCATGGACTACAACATATTTCACGAAGAACAAGAATTAATCCTGCGGAATTACTAGAAATCAATGAATGCCAAACATTCGAATTTCTTTTTGAAAAACCAACAAGAAGTTGTTCATTCCCCATGTAAATTTGTTTTCATAAAATGACAAGAATTGAGATATTTATAAATTACCTGGATTCCTAGAATAAATATTGCATTGTAAGGGTGTTTTCAAAATCTACCTGTTTTAACAGAAATATTTATTTATCTAATTAAGTTTTGTAATTTCCTAATGTTGCATAAAATACATTGTAGAATAGTTTGATGTACCAGTTCAGATCATGAAACTACCGTGTAGTATGAAAATTGTATAATTATTATCATGGANGGAGCACTGGTTAATACCTTAATTAATTTACGAACGATCCCTTAATGCATATTATTTCAATAAGTATAAGTTACATATATAACTGAATGGTTCTAAAATGTATATTTTTAGAAAGTGTATCTTAAAACTATGAAATATTATTCCTGGTGGAAAGTAATACTGCTCTTTCAATTTAATTATTATTATATAGCATCTTTCATTCAAAACAACAAAGGTTTCTTTCATAAAAAGAATTGCTTAGATCAGTCGATTTTTTTAAACGCCCGCTCCTGTTATGTATTTTTCAAAGAATATTGGAAATTAGTTCTTTTGAAGAGGAAATACGATAACTTACAGATAACTACTCTGAAACCTCGTATTCATCTGGTCATTTTATATACTGAACAGTAGTTTATATACAGCATCGTTTGAATCTCAGTAAGCAATTCTTCATTTCAAAAATTTGCCAATATCTTTTGATGCCTGTATCTTCTCGCAAATAAAATCTCAACCTGTAGGGTATCCATTCTGAATTGGTTATGGGAAGGTTTTTTTTCCAGGACTGCCATCTCGACATAACTGAATACTGATTCAATCTCAAGTCTGATATCGCAAAATCAGATATTGAAATCGATATCACTCATATCTGGTTTTGCCTCGTTGATTTTTTCATATTTCGTACTGAAAATAATCATTCGCACATTATTCTCTCCCACGCGTTCTCAGTTTTGAAAAAGTGGAAAAATGCATTTTCAATTCTTGCATTAAAAGCTCTTTATTGATCATTCTTCAACTTTTTCGTTGATAACATCAATAAACAGGCTTGTAGACACAGATATATCATAAGATATGCAAAGCAATTAGTGGACTTTATATGTTTTAATTTTGAGAAACTGCTAAAAATAATTTATGAACGAGTTGTTGAGAAGTGCTTTTCAAAAAGTATGCTTTCTGCTTTTTCTATCAGTTCCTTTGAGGTATCCATAACAATAAACAAGCACAATTTATATTTGTGAAAACTGCATNTCTATTAAAAACACTTTTCCCTCACCAGAACTGTCTCTCAATGCTCGTGTTGCTAACCGAATTTTCAATAGATTTTGAGAAACTGCTAAAAATAATTTGTGAACGAGTTCTTGAAAAGTGATTTTCAAAAAGTAACACACCAGAGGTTCCAAATTCTACTTATCAAGGATTCGCTTCATTTCATTATTTTGAAGAAAGTAAATATTGTGTAGAAATAGTAATAGAAAATGAAAACTTAACTGTAATATACATACCTGTAATATTAGATTTTTTTCAGTTTTTACGTTCCGTCTTTATTAATCTTACTTTGAATGGTCAGCTTGTTTAAAATTCTTCGAAAATCATTTATTCAATGAGATACGTTTTATTGCTGAATACTTTCAAGGAAATAATAATAGTAATATTAATTTCTATATAAATTTCTTAATGTCTCCATTCTTAGTCTCTCAACAGTACTGTTCGAGACAAATGTGGCCGATTAATGCTGATATTTGAGAACTGTCACATTAATATTGATTATATCATTATTGCGACTTGCCGCAAAAACAAAATTTAGAAGGCTGTCATTCTTGGTTCATTGCGTCTACTCAGAGCACATGATTATCGGATCAATGATCGCTTCATAGTAGATAATTTCATTTTAATGTTGTTTTTCTCAGAATGCATCATCTGTTTCGAAACAATATTATTTTATACCGAGCTCCTTATAACAAATATATTATTGCAAAGGGATTTCAAATATCAATTCGAAAGTTTATTCAACCTAAACTAAACTCACTTGAATATATAAACCTGGGAAATGTAAATCACGCAAATAAAACGCTGGAATTCAATAATCCTCTAATTTTAGAACCACCAAAACAATGAATCTGAAGAATCGAGTATTTAAATATCTTCCTTCATGCCTACTGACACAAATTCGGATCGAAATTAACATAAGAATCATTGGGAATACATTAGGCCTGGATTCAGTACTCTAGAAACTTACTTTATCCCACAGTGCTGTTCCTATTAGAAATCAAATGAATTGGGTAATTTGCTCTTAAAGACCAGGCGAAAATGAATAACTCACCTCTTCTGAATTTGTTTTCTAATGGTGAAATCGGTAATTAATTTTAATGTTTTAAGTGAGGTTCATAAGAGAACCCAGTTAATATCAATTAAATCTTAATTTTTATTGAGCTTGTGTAGTCCGGAAGAAAAACGACACAACTCAAACGTTCTATCCTTTTGGAAAGAAAGGCAACACTAATGAGTTGAGGTCAAGTGCTTTTTGAAAGTAGATATAATGCCGGAAAAACGAAAAAATATTGTAAGTTTATATTCTAATACACTATAACTGAAACCTAAGACCATTCAGACAGTTAGGCACCATAGTGTGAAAGGTGGTGAACTGAATTATTTGTGTTATAAAGAACTTAAATCCCTTATACTAAAAAATATTACTTTGCAACATGTGTTATTTTTCCTCTGGACTAAAGATATGTTGCGTTTTCTAAACTGGTATGTGAAAATAAAAAAATGTTATTAAAATAAGTGTAAACCATGTTCTTCGAATGAAAAGGATCATGGGTCCTATCAGTCTGGAGTTCCAGGGAAGACAAATGTTATCTTTCACTGTCTATTATGTGTTTCATTCAATACTGCTTGATTACACTTTCTATTTCTATGTTGGGCTTTCTGTGTACATGTAGAGGGATTAATCTGTTTCTATAAATGAATTTTAAACAAAGACGATGACAAATTCCGAATAGTTACAAATTCCTTTAGAGAAAGACCTGACACATGATGAATATTCGTAAAACTCTTTTGTTATTCTTTACGAAGACAAAAAGGTTTGAGTGTGAATTGTGTACCCCACATAATATTAGAAGCAGATGAAGATGAAGCTTGGAATTTCAAATCTCAATCCTGCATAGATCATATTTAACATGATGCAAATCATTTACCAATATGATAGAGTATATTTTGAGTTTCGACAATGCAGAAAAACCTAATTAAATGCGTGCCATATAAGTGAAATACAACAGAACTGGATCTTTCATAACGTAGAAGTCTTCATATCACAAATATTTAATTTTTACTGATCTTATATCACACGTAAATAATTCACAACACTAAGTAGCTAAGCAACATAAATGAGAAGCTTGTCCTATTAAAATTGGGAAAGTGACAATATGAGAATTTGCAACTTGACATTAGTTTCTCATTGAAGATTAGTGATGGTATATCTGAAATATAGGTCTGAAAATGTAAAGACTATTTTCAAAAAGTAACACACCAGAGGTTCCAAATATATCCAGAATTTCTGAAGTCTTTATGCCTTCTCTTTTCTTTATTACATGGGTGTAATCACCCGTGTAACAAAAAAAATTAATTTGTGACTAATATAATTATTTTTTTCTTGTAATGTACACAGTTGAAATTATCATGCATTGCAAATAAATGATATGATGAGAGTGATTTTGTAATTTTTGTAGTCTTCAACCCTCAATTTGTTTCAGGAAGTATATTATTGTACAACAATTTTATTAGATTAAAATGAGTTTTCAATCAAAGTATTTGTCTATTCTGTTGAAAAACGCAGAAATCTGTGAAAGGTACACGTTTTATTGATATTTTTTTTAAAACATAATTTGTATGTTTTTAGAGATTCAATCTTTGATCTATAATAACACCCAGATAATTCAATTTATTGTGAATAATTTCAACTTGAGACTGACTTTCCATAATTTTTTATACACCCACTCATTTCCATTAACAAAAATTCTTTTTAATATTGATTCGCAATGAATCTATAAAACATTATCTTATATATTCTCCAGTCTCATTGATTACCTCGACTACATATGGTCTGAAGATGAATAGCATATATCCTATATTTTATTGAAAACTTTCAACAAACTTTACAATAGTTTACTTTTAATTCATGACAACTGCTGGTATCCTGGTGCTGGTGTCCTAACTTTTGGTTTTATACTTCTCTACTCTTTAGTGATAGTTTTTGCCCTACTTTCAGGGTTCAGTCACCAATTTTTATATCACTTACCGTCATTAAAGATACAAAAACCTCTACAAAATCCCATATTCTCACCTCCACTGCCATAGCAAAATATAAATCAAAATGAAATTTCGACTCACCTATCTAAATGATTCGGATGTCCATTGTACTGCTGCTTGTTCTGCGCATGAAAATGAAATCGCCGCGAGACTAGATATCCACATAAAAAACCGACGAAAAGTCCTGCTATACATGCAACAGCTACAATTATGTGCAAGTATTCGGAAGTGTACAGGGTTAGTTTACTCTGAGAAGCGCAGCCTGTAATCTTCTGTCCATCAACTTCGTTACAGTCAGTCGACACTTCATCTATCTTCAGCAAAGGATCTACAATTTTCTTGTCTTCGTCTAAGGTATTTAAATCGATTGAATTACTTTCATAGTCTTTGGAAGAAATCTTTTTGTTTCCTAGTTGGTCCCTGCACCTGGATGTGTCGCCTCTCCTGACATCTTGGAACAAATACCTGAACGAAGTCACCTCATCTACGCTCACACACATGTCTTTTATCGAATCCCAAGCACAATGTGGATCTCGCAGTTCTATACATTCACTAGAAAGAGAAAACCTTGCTATTACTTTCTGAATAAATATAATACCTTTATAGAATTCTATATGGGCTCTCACAACTCATATTTTGCATTTGTTCGGGGAAAATAAAAACTTTCACATTAATCTAGTGTTTACATTAATCTAGTGAAAATTCTTTCTCCTCAACTAAACAGAAATTCCAGTGCAAGTTATACGAACCCCATTCGAATGGGGTTCGCGGGTTGAAGTGGAGAATCAAATGGACTCACATATTTTGGACCTATACATACCTAGCTATTACATGCTTCATGAACAGGTATCATGAAATCTATCTAACATACTTTTTGACCTCAATAATATAATATTGGGAAATAGTCCATATAATATACCTGAATTTGAAACATTCCTCAGAAAGAAGACAATTTCATCAATGACCATCCATAATGTAACGAGATATAAATTCATTCTGTTTTATTGTACTCTTTTAATTCTGTGTTCTATCTTAGGTGAACTTTGACTTTTTTATATTGTTTATAGACTTGAAGTATTTTTGTACACTTCAATTGTCAAAAAACGAAATAAAGGCAGTATTATTGTAGTTACAGACTGGTAAAAGAGGAACATACCTGCAACGGTTGATGGTTTTACAGTGATTCAAAGTAACTAATTTTACTTCGTTCAAGCTTACAGCAACCACTTTGCCGTACCCTGGAACAGTTTTTAGTTGCTTGACAGGAGTACCCTTCGGGAATAATTCATTTTCTGATATAACAAATGCTTTTCCGTGGTTGAGGCTTGGAATGTTTACAACTTTCAATACTTTTCCATCATCTATAAAAAAAACAAACTTTAAACAATTCGGCATTGTGAAAATTGTGAAAATAGTGACTTCAAACAATTATCAATAAACATTTCATATATATACACATACATTTTTGGACAATATAATTTTTCTAATAATCTTATATCCCATACTCTTCGGCATTCCATGATCTGGTTTAAAAACAAATCTTAGAACTTGATCTGCTTGTAGTTTATTAGTGAGTAATCTATTTATATTTTATCTATAGCTAGTGTTCCTCCTGATCTGTAAATGACATCAGCTCTAGTCAACTTGATGATGCAATAGAGCAGGATGCCTAATGATCTAGTGGGTGCTAAAAATAGGGGTTAAATTTGAAAAGGGAGCATGAATACTACCCCTTCAAAGATGATGGATTTATATAAATCTCAAACCCAGATCGTCAATGATGAACTGAAATCCGATATGGTATGTTGAAAATCCATTTTTGACGTTCACTACTAAGTAGATTTTTTATCACAGAAATGATCTTTTTGAACATATATTTTGCTTACGATCATCGGACCTGACCCCTCTACCATACTGAAACGAGTAGCAGTACGAGTCCACATTGGTCTGGTTAAGATGCTCGGAATCGAAAAATAGACCACATGGGTTGCAGTGTTCAAGATAGGCATATCCATATTTTTAAACAGTTTGATATAATGCCAATTGCGATTTTAGCCTATTTAGCATATATGATAAAACTATTGATTATCTTAAGAATAGATATATTATTATTGATCTAAAATGGAATGAAAGTATACTTTGAATGATTACCTGTCCCGATGTAAATGACATCAAACGTTTCATCATTAACAGTTCGGACTTGCGGATCAACTGCGACCACCGTGAATCGATAATGAAGGCTAACTCTGATCATCAATGGTTTCCCGTTGAAGGCAGGAACAGCTTTTTCCATGAGAGGATGGGTTTTGATGAAGTTCACATTTTTGTCTGCTAAAACCCGACTATCTGTGACACACTTTCCAGGGCGAGGTGTCGGCACCTTGTCTTCAGGTATAGGTAGCCAATTTGCATTTATACTCTCTTGGTGTTTGAAAGGCCCTTCGAATACGCTTTGAATGTCTTCCATTTTGAAAATACATAGAGCGGAACCTCCTATGGCATTATTTGGTGTGGTTAAGGTAGCATAGACTATCTGGGTTTTGGTCTCATTGCCATATTTTCCTTCGACAATATCACTAGTCGATTCTGAAACATAAAGATTCCTATAACACACGATATGAAGATGGTACTAAATTCATTTATTGAGAAATTAATGGCAAACAAAATTCTAACATATAAATAAGATAGTCTACAAAACAGTATTAGATACATAAATTCTTATTAGTATAAAGTTACGGAATGATTATATGACATAATGAATCTCTGCAACTATTGCTGCAGGGTTGATCAGAGATGACGTCATATTTCAAACTGTCAGCCTTTTAAGATGCCAAATGCCAAAATAACAATATAACTTAATCAAGAGTTCATGAGGAAAATGAAGAATTGAAATTGAAAATATTAATTTTTACAGATTACTCATTTGAAAATAATATCAATTAAAATTTTTTGATAATCTTGTTTGCAAAAGTCCTAAACTTTCAATCAAATTAATGTTTATGTTCTATCTTTTTTTCAGTGATAATCTCTGTATGTCTGATCATGTGTCCTTCAAATATGATAACTTCACATACAACCAGAACCCAAATCATTTCCAACCATATACCCATTTACCATAACTCGCCAGAGCTGACCCATAGCTTTGCCATATCATTTGATGATAATTCAGTTAATTTGGAGAACAAATATCAGACAAATGATACATTTCTTAATGGAATCATATTACTAGAAAAAAATTTTGGAGAATCTTTTTATCACCAGTTTTTTCACATAAAATTAATGCATTTGAAGTTATATACTTTTCAACACAGGCTTTATACGCTTAGATGACAGTGTCTCATAATAGTGTACGAGTGGTTACGAGTCCTACTTACGAATTTCATCGAAATAAAAGGGATATTCTCCAGGCACTGAGCAATTCAGTCTTGCTTTCAGGAAAGTGGTCCATCGATCTCTAGACTGATGCGGACCTCCTTTGTCGTGCTTACAGACTCTAGCCACTCTGGAATATATGATTTTCCCGCAGTTCATATATTCTACAGCAGTTTCTCGGAAGAAGAAGTAAATGTAATCCCCATATGTTAAGGAACTAACAAAATTTGGAGCTGAAAACAACAAACAAAAATTAATATTTCGATGATTAGTCACAACATTTGATAATCCTCACCGTTCAGCTGCCTGAGATCAGAAAGTTCCGTACGGAGAGGTTCCTTGTATATCAACGGATCAGTTCCTGAGAAGTCCGCTACTGTAGCCGAGAATAAATGTCCGTTGCTGTATATTGCTGTGCTATTATGTTCGGGATCAAACGGGCACAATCCCACCCCAATCATTTCTTTGTCGATGTAAAATTTGCCATCCTGAAAAAATTTAACGTTTTGAACGGTAAATCAATGTTGTATTGAAGTTTTCAACTACGGTCAAAATAAACAACAAATTATATTGAGGGCCAATTACATGTGTGACCTACACATGTAATTGGCTCCTGGCTCCTGCTACATTTTCCACTATTGACGAGTATTTGTTTCTGTAATAAACCTCTTTCCCTATGTATATATTCAGCCTCTTTTATAAAAAAATATGAGTATCTTTTCCGAAACAATTCATGCAGCAACCACTTCTGAAGAGAAATTTTATGTTTGACAATTGTTCGAGGAACGTTGGGGGCTTACCTGACATGCCATTTTCTATGGCATGATGAATTTTCAAATTGATTACTTCCTTCCTTTCTTTGGAAGATTCTCTCATCCCTTTTTTTTGTATCAGATGGAGTAGTAGAAAGCCAAAAACTTTCTTTCCCAAAAAAAATTAATCACTCCTAAAAATATAACCCTTTCAAATCAAAGAAATGAATAATCCGTGATCCAACAATTTTTCTGAAGA